TTTATTTATTTATTTATTTATTTATTTATTTATTTATTTATAGCGTGCACATGCGCCAGCAGGGAGGGTGGTGGGAGGAGGACAGAGGGAGAAGGAGAGAGAATCTTAAACAGGCTTCATGCCCAGTCTGGAGCCCAACACAGGGCTCCATCTTACAACTCTGAGATCATGACCTGAGGTGAAATCAAGAGCCAGATGCTTGGGCGCCTGGGTGGCTCAGTCGGTTAAGCGACTGCCTTCGGCTCAGGTCATGATCCCGGGAGTCCCTGGATGAGTCCCGCATCGGGCTCCCTGCTCGGCAGGGAGTCTGCTTCTCCCTCTGACCCTCCCCCCTCTCATGTGCTCTCTCTCTCTCTCATTCTCTCTCTGTCAAATAATAAATAAAACCTTTAAAAAAAAAAAAAAAGAGCCGGATGCTTAACTGACTGAGGCACTCTGGCCCCCGTCTTTAATCCATTTTGAGTTTATTTTTGTGTATGGTGTAAGAAGGTGATCCAGTTTTATTCTTTTGCATGTAACTGTCCAGTTTTCCCAACACCATTTGTTGAAGAGACTTTTTCCCATTGCATATTCTTGCCTCCTTTGTCATAGATTAATTGAGCATGTAATTGTGGGTTTATTTCTGGGCTCTCTATTCTATTCTATTGATCTATTTGTCTAGTTTTGTACCACTATACTGTTTTGATTACCACAGCTTTGAATATAACTTGAAGTCTGGAATTGTGATATCTCCAGTTTTATTTTTCTTTTTTCAAGATTACTTTAGCTATTCAAGGTCCTTTTTTGTGGAATCTTTAGGGTTTTCTGTGTATAGTATCATGTCGTGTACAAATAGTGAAAATGTTACTTCTTCCTTACTAATTTGGATGCTTTATATTTCTTTTTGTGGTCTGATTGCTGTGGCTAGGACTTCCAGTACTATGTTGAATAAAAGTGGTGAGAGTGGACATCTTTGTCTTGTTCCTGACCTTGGGGAAAAGCTCTCAGTTTTTCTCCATTGGGTGTGATGTTCACTGTGGGTTTTTCATATTATGGAGGCTGGGGTGAAGGTCAGTTTTGAAGCATTCCTTTAATAGTGTCTCATGGTTTGCCTAGCAAAAGCATTGGCTCAAGAGAGCTGTGGATAAATCTGTTTAATTAGTAAAGCTAAAGTATTTTGTTTCCCCAGGTTGGCATTTCTTTGATAGCAAGTAAATCTACACAAGAACCTAATTAATATATTTTTCTCTGTTGATTTTCTATTTTGACAGGAACTTGATGTCAAAATAGCAATTAAGTCATGTCGCCTAGAACTAAGTACCAAAAACAGAGAACGGTGGTGCCATGAAATCCAGATCATGAAGAAGTAAGTGTATTTGATGGCTTGTATTTCTCCAGCTCTGCAGCCCAGGCAGACGTCATCATAGGGAAGGAGGGTAGGAATCTGTTCTTTTCAGGATCTTTTGGGGAATGTGTTTTTTTCTTTCTCATCAAATGTATATGTTCTATCTCAAATAATAACATCACATTATGATTAAGTAAGTTTAGTTTTAAAAATCAGCTAAAAGGGTGCTTGGGTGGCTCAGTCGGTTAAGCAGGTGCCTTGGGCTCAGGTCATGATCTCAGGGTCCTGGGATCGAGCCCTGAGTTGGGCTCCCTGCTCCGTGGGAGTCTGCTTCTTCCTCTGCCCCTCTCCCCCAATTCATGCTCACTCTTTCTCTCAAATAAATAAATAAAATCTTAAAAAAAAAAAAAGTCAGTAGGTATTATCAGACTCACTTCTTCTGTGGGCAGAATCTTTCTTCTGGATATTGGGCAATGTTCATCCATTATACTTTCTCATTAAATATAATCACTACTCTCATTTCTTTATTCTTACCTACTTTTGTTGAATAGTATATCTATTGCTTCGTATAAAGTTACCCCAAAATTTAGTGGCTTAAAACAACAACCATTTGGGGGCCCCTGGCTGTCTCAGTCAGAAGAGCCTGTGACTCTTGATCTCAGGGTCATGAGTTCAAGTCCCACATTGGGTGTAGAGATTACTTAAATAAATTAAAAAAAAAAACAAAACCTGACAAACATTTAGTATCTCATAGTTTCTGTGGTTTAGGAATTTGGGGAGTGACTTAGTTTAGTGATTCTGACTCAGGAGATCCCTCCTGAGACACCCCAAAATGTTGAGTGGAGCTACAGTCATCCAAAGGCTTGAATGGGGTTGGAGTATCCACTTCCAAGCTTATTTATATAGCTGTTGGCTCGAGGTATCAGTTACTCATCATATGGGCCTCTGCATAGGGAAGCTTGGATATTTTCATGACATGGTAGCTAGCTTTCCCCAAAGTGAGTGATCTGAGGAGAGAGAACAAAGTGAAAGCTGACTGTCTTTTATGATCTTTCCTCGGAAGTAATATCTTTTCTACCACATTCTATTTATTAGAAATGAGTCACTAAGTACAGCCTACGCTCAAGGGTGGGAGAAGAATTAAGCTCTTAAAGGGAGAAGTGGGCATATTTTAAAACCTGCACAAGTAGTGTACTGAGTGCTTTACAAATAATTCTACTTGTCACAGCAACCCTGTTTTTAGGTATTATCCCTATTTTAAGATGAGGAAGTTGAAGCTCATAGAGTCATACAACTGGTAGCTAATAGAGTCTGGATTTGAAATAAGTACTTTCTGACTCCAGTGTCTTTGCTCAGTTCACTATTAAAGTACTCAAACTTGGCTATGTGGCAGAATCACCAGGAAACCTTGTTAACAGTATAAATTCTCAGGCCCTACACATGGAGAATCTGTTTCCTTAGGTCTCTAGGACCTGGTAATCTATTCCAATTTTGAGATCCGTTGCATTGATGATGATGATGATGATGATGATGATGGCTGGGATGATATATTGTTAAGTTAAAAAAAAAGATGTTAGAAAACAATATATAGTGAGATTTAACATTTATTTAAAAATGTATTTATGTACAGATTGAAGCTAGAAGGAAATATGCCAACATTTTAATATATTACCTATGGGTGGCATTGTAAGTGATTGTGGGAGAACCAGTATGATAAAGGCTTTGGAGCCAGACTGCCAGATTTGAATCCTTACTTGACCACCTCCTTGCTGTGTGATCCTATATTATTTAACCAATTTGTGCTTCAGTTTTCTCCTGTGTGATGAGACTATTAATAAATCTACCTATAGTAGGATTATTGTGACAAGTAAATGAGTTAAAGTATGTAAAGTGGGTACTGTTTGGCACGTAGAAATGTAATAGTAGTGATTGTGATAGTATTTTTTTCTATATTTTATTTATCTTTAAAGATTTATTTATTTATTTTAGAGGGGGTTGGCAGAGGGAGAGGGAAAGAGAGAATCCCAAGGAGACTCTTTGCTGAGCCCAACACAGGGCTTGATCCTACAATCTGAGATCATGACCTGAGCCAAAATCAAGAGTTGGATGCTTAACTGACCAAACCACCCAGGTGCCCCATCTATATTTTATTTTTGAAAATTACTAATTCTTCATTATACAAAGGAGAAATTAGAATATTATAAATAATGCCAGCCTTTCTTCCACTGCCCCCCAATTAACTACCATTTCAAACCCAATCTCTTTTCATTGGGAAAAAAAATTTTATTATAATGTTTTCCCCTTCTTGTTAGGTTGAACCACACCAATGTTGTGAAGGCCTGTGATGTACCTGAGGAATTGAATTTTTTAATTAATGATGTGCCTCTTCTAGCAATGGAATACTGTTCTGGAGGAGATCTCCGAAAGGTAGTGTGGATGTTTTGAGATGATGAGATAGTAAATCATGAACCTTAGCAACGCTTGAATCATATTTAATATGATAATCTAGAATAAAAGTCAGTACACTATGGCCTGTTATCTATTTTTGTGGCTGCTTTTTAACTACAACATCAGAATTAAGTAATTGTGACAGAGATCTGTGGCCTGCAAAGCCTAAAGTATTTACTGTGTGGCCCTTTACTGGGAACATTTGCTAACCCCTGATTGAGAACATGCATTTTTTTGTAGGTGGTAGTGTTTGCAGGATGGGAGTGGATTGATTGTGTTAGACCAAAATATCAATGTCTAAGGTGTTTATAAAGAAGTTGTGTTAAAAAAAAAAAAAGAGGGTTTGTGTGTGTGTGTATATGTGTGTGGGTTTTTTTTTTTTCTGTTGCAGGTCTTATCTCATTTTAAATCTGTCGTATGGCTATTTTTAAATACATGAGGTTTTTTTCAATCTTTTTCAATTTCACATACTTTCCCTCTTTATCTTTACTTGCATAAGTCTTGTCATGAAATTAATTTGTCTTCAGTATGGTTTTGTAATTTTTCCCTTCTTACATTTTCTTAATTGTGACTTATTTTCTCATAGTGTATAGTGATTGATGTGTTGCTACTACTGCCCAGCAGTATTGGCAGTATACATTCTTAGACTTCTTTTTTTTTTTTTTCCTTTAGTTACTCAACAAACCAGAAAATTGCTGTGGACTTAAAGAAAGCCAGATACTTTCTTTACTGAGTGATATCGGTATGTAATCAATTTGAAAATACCATCATAATTTAATGCCCCTTTGGTTTATAAAAGGATTTATATACTACTTGGGAATTGAGAATTTTTGATGTACTATACAAAGCATACACTTTTACCATCTATAAGAAATTATCAGAAAAATTTAACTGTTGCTGTTGATGCTACAACTAGGATATTTTATTGTTTTTTTGCTAGGAATCCATTTTTTACTAATAGATGTTCCAATTGCTGACAAAAAATGGTGTAAAATGACCTTATTCAATTTTACTCTCCATCCCTCTCTGCCTAACATAGTAATTTTATTTACCAGTGGCATTGCATCTCATGGTTATCGGTCCTCAAGTCAACTCTTAGGATGAAATCTCTTTTTAAAGAATTACTCCTGAAAGATCCCTAAAATTACCTGCACTTAGGTCCTTGGAAGAAGGTCAGAAGCCAAGAATATGTTTCCCTATATATTTTGATTTTGCTGCTTTTCCTAGGTCATGGAGGTCAAGTCTAGTTGAAAATCTAGATGATTTAGGTGGAAGGGAAAACTAGAGGGATATATGTAATTCTGGAGTATTTTTTTAATGTTAACTGGATATTCTGTGGAGAGAATCTTAACTGGTATAATATCATTAATCATATAGTTATGATGGTCCATATAAATATGAGCATCGGAGGGGTGGCTAGCTGGCTTAGTCAGAGGGGCATGTGATGCTTGATTTTGGGGTTGTGAGTTCAAACCTCACATTGGGTGTAGAGATTACTTAAATAAACAAAACTTAGAAAAAAAAGTTTGAATGTCAGAGTAGGTCTGTACAAAATGTAAGATGAATTTATTTTTAATTCAGTATTTCTGTTACCTTAAAATACATTTTAAACTTTATTTAGGGTCTGGGATCCGATATTTGCATGAAAACAAAATTATACATCGTGATCTAAAACCTGAAAACATAGTTCTTCAGGATGTTGGTGGAAAGGTAGGTGAAACCTGAAGAAGTGTTACATGCCAATTGAATACAGTCTCCCTGGTGTAGTCTTTGAAGTCTGTTGTCTTTCCATAGCATTTTGTACTTTTTCTATCCCTGCCCTCATTACACTGAACTGTGGTTTTGTGTTTAGTTGTCTCCTCTGCTAACACAGTGGCTCCCATTAGAGAAGGAACTGTGCCTATCTTGCTCACTTCTGTTTTCTAATAAAATATCTAGTAGAGGTAATAGGCAGTGAGTAAAAATAATTTGTTAATCCCTTACAAAGCACATCCAACACATGCACACATCCTGGATTTAGTTAAGTATGTTTACTTAACTATGTTTCTTATTTAAGAAAGAACAAACTCATTCTCCTCCCCAAAAGTCCTAAGTTCTATATTTAAGTAAAATTTAAAACCTTGATTTCTCAGATTCTTAAATGAATCATCTTGAGGAGAATGAGAAATTATGCACTGACTCCTGGAATACTTGTATTTATCAGAATAATTTGAACAGTTTTCTTGTGACTAGCACTCAGGTTCCAGTCCAGTAAAGATGTAAAGCCAAGAGTCTGAACCTTGAATTAGATTGTGTGGTCTTTAGTTAGCGATGATGGTGGTCAGTTGGAGGTGATGAAACCTTGATGGTGCCTCTTTTCTTAGGAGCCTTTCATGTATGCTTGGCAGCAACTGTTGCTGCTTTTTTTGTATCCAAAGACTTCAGGATATTCTTGAAGTTAGACTCACTCAGTGGTATGATGCTTTTTCAAGTTTGGAATCATCCTTACCTTTCCCTTCTGGTTTAATGGATCAAGCTTATTCTGAATATACCAAAATAAAAATTAATCTATACTTAATTTTTAAACATTTTTTTACCATGTATCAGGTACTGTGTTGGATTCTTTTCTTTCATTATTTCATTGATCCTAATAATAATTCTGTGAAGTAAGGATTGTTAGTAATACCATTATTTAGGAAACTGAGAGAAGTTAAGTAACTTGATCAGGGTCACATAAGCGGTGGAGCTCAGGCTTGAAATACATTTGTGATAGTCCAGAGCCCAAGCTTTTCCCCACCACACTCTCCAGAGCCTTATAAGGACATTGTTGCCTTTCCTTTTCAAATTTCTCAGTCATTTAATACTTATTGTATTGCAGATTATGCATAAAATAATTGATCTGGGATATGCCAAAGATGTTGATCAAGGAAGTCTTTGTACATCTTTTGTGGGAACACTGCAGTATCTGGTGAGACATGGATTGTTTCTTTGAATTTAAGTGTACAGGATTCATGTTCTTTTTTCTGAAGGTCATGAATATAGTAGTTCAAAAATAAAGTAGCTTTTCTCTTGTAGTGTTGATGTTTAAAGCATTTTGTTTTTTCTTTTTAAGGCCCCAGAACTCTTTGAGAATAAACCTTACACAGCCACTGTTGATTATTGGAGCTTTGGGACCATGGTATTTGAATGTATTGCTGGATATAGGCCTTTTTTGCATCATCTGCAGCCATTTACCTGGTAAGAAAAGGAAGAGAACTTTGGTGTGCTTGATGGGAATGGAAATACTCAGTTACCTGCTTTTTTTTCCTTCCATACCCCTTCATATGGTATAATTGCCTTTTAAGCACGTAATTGAATAAAGTTAAATGACAAAAAATCTTAGTGTTTGTGAGAATCAGTTGTCACCAAGGTAGCTTGTTTTATAGGCATGAGAAGATTAAGAAGAAGGATCCAAAGTGTATATTTGCATGTGAAGAGATGACAGGAGAAGTTCGGTTTAGTAGCCATTTACCTCAACCAAATAGCCTCTGTGGGTAAGTATATTTTAGTTGAGGAAGTTCACCTCAGTTTCTTTAGGGTTATAAAAGAACCGTAGAGTTGTTGTCTGTTTCAAGTAGGACTGTGCAGTGAAACTTTCTGTGATGATGAAAAAGTTTTATATCTGTGATGGCCCCATGAGACTATTGAGCACCTGAAAGGTTGTAATGTGACAGAAAAACTCAATTTTAAATTTTATTTAATTTTCATTAATGTAAGTGTAAATGCAAATAGCCACTTGTGACTAGAGGCTACCATATTGGACAGCACAGGTCTAGTAGAAATAAGAACTCCTGCTATAAGAAGATTCTTGGGATACTGAAATAAATGGGTTCCTTGGAAAATGGAACTGGACTCATCTGTCGAAGTTGCCAGTACTTACATATGTAGGTTTTGGGTTGCTTTTTATGGAAAAAAGTTTGTCCCCTGTCATTTTATGAATTACTTGAAAGTAAGATACAAAAGGATACAGCTGAGTAATGAGAAAGGACATGGACAACTTACAAAATTACCTTTTTTCACAATACTAAAGGAAAACTGGAACATAATGATTTTCATCCTATTTTTTGTATGCTTTCTAGTTTAATAGTAGAACCCATGGAAAACTGGCTTCAGTTGATGCTGAATTGGGATCCTCAGCAAAGAGGAGGACCTGTTGATCTTACTTTGAAGCAGCCAAGATGTTTTGTATTAATGGATCACATTCTGAATTTGAAGGTTAGTTTGAATGTAGTCTACCTCATAAGACTTGCATTGAAGTTAACAAATTTATTTGGAATATAAGCATAAACATTTTAATAATCTTTTCTGATGCTTATTTGAAAAGAAAATTATGTTCTTGGAGCTGATGTGTTTTTACGTCTTTAGTAAGCCTTCTCAGTTTTACTTCTAAGTGGTCTTTGTTGATTGCTTTTATGAAACATCTTTTGGATTTTCCTCTTCCTCGGATTGGTGCCATTAGACCTCATTCATTTGGGTGTAATCATACTGGATTTGTTTGGTGAGGAAATTTCTTGCCTGACTTTCATGACTCTCTACTTCCTCCCCATCCTGTAGTCCATGCAGCATGAACTATCCATCTCATCTTCTGAAAATGCTTTTTATTCTCCTGTCCAAGAAACCAGCATAGTTCTTCTTGCCTACCAGTCAAGTCTAAACTGATCTGCCTGCCTTTTGGAGCTTTCCTCATGCAGGTCCACCCCAACCAAGAGCTTGTCCCGGACCTGCTTCTCTTACCTTTTACTTTGCTAGGTCCAGCTTGTCACTGCTCCTTATGCCATCGAGCACATTATCCATTTTTGTGCTTTGACAGATGCTGTCCTTCTGCCCAGAATGATCTTGGTCTCTGTGTATCTCCTCAGCTACACTGGCATATATTCAACTCTCCTTTTCTCTGAATGGTCTCTGTCACATAATTTGTCATTTAAATCATATTTATTATATTTTCTAATTGTTTCTCATCTTCCACTCATGCCTTTCCATATAGGTTGTCTTCTTTAATGCTGGGGTTGTTCTTACTACCTTTTTTTTTTTTTT